CCCAGCGCCGAGCACCGCCCGGGCGCTCCCTGCCGCTCGCACCCGAGGCACCGCCCGACTCGGCTCACACACGGGCACCGGGCACTGCCCCGCACCCGGCACACGCACGTGGCACCGGGCACTGCCCCTCCCCCGCGGGCACTCTCCGTACACACAAACACCCTGGGCACCGGGCACTGCCCCAGCGCGCGCACACACGTGTACTGCGCACTGCCCCAGCGCGCGCGCACACCCCCACAAGGGCATTGTGCACTGCCCCAGCAACCCCCAGGCACTAGCACGGGGCACTGCCACAGCACACAAAAAGCGCACACACGGGCACCATTCACTGCCCCAGCACATGTACGCATGCACACACTGGCGCCATACACTGCCCCAGCACACACAAACACATGTGCACACCATGCACTGCCCTAGCGCACACACACGGGCGCCATACACTGCCCTAGCACAGACACACACAGGCACCATGCACTACCCCAGCAGACATGCACACATACACAAGCACACTGCACTGCCCCAGCACACGCACGTGCACACACACACACACATGCTCACACAGGGGCATTGTGCACTGCTCCAGCATACACGCACACAGGCACACCATGCTCTGCCCCAGTACATGCACGCACACACACACATTCCCCCAAGCATGATGCAATGCCCCCGCCCACACGTGTGCACCCACAAACACACACACCGGGGCATGACACATTACTCCAGCACACACACAGGCACCATGCACTTCCCCAGCACACACACACACACAGGCACTGTGCACTGCCTCAGCATGTGCACACACAAACACATGGACTATGGACAGTGTCCCACATCCTGCCCACACGTGGCACCATGAACTGCCCCCCCTGCCCACACACACGCGCACGCACGCACGCACACACACACACACACACACACACACACACACACACACACACACACACAGAGTGCACTACTTCCCCCCTCCCCCCAACACACAGGAACAAGGAAGACTGCCCCAGACCCTACACACATAGGCACCATGCACTGCCTCAACTCCTTTCCCCTGCATCCCCCAACACAGACAGGCACATGCGCTGCCTCACCCCACCCCACCACGCATGCACTATGCACTGCCCTGTCCTCTCCACTGACACTCGTACCCAGCATCTCCCCTCCATCCTGTTACTGGCCCAACGCACAGTGGGATCCTCCATGGTGCCATCCCCAGCCTGCCCCAGTCAGCTCCAAGTCCCAAATGGCTCTTCTCCTGGGGCAAAGCAGCCCTCAGGGTGTGCAGAGTGGTAAGGCCTCCTTTTCCCTAGAGAAAGGCACACAGAAATAGGTCACGTGCTTCAACACATACAGAACACATGCTGACATGCCTGGGACATGCAAGGGCAGGGCATGTGGTGTGACACTGTATGGGACATGCAGGAGCATACAGAGATGCAGGGCACCCGTTCCAGTCATTCAGAAAATACTATAAATATACCTGGATGTAGGCACACACTCTGACATGTCAGCATGCCCAGGGATACAGGCACATGCCGCTCGCACCCGCCACTTGCACCCGCATCTGCTGGGCAACGCACACATAGATATGAATATACACAGGGGTGCAGGCATATGCTCCAACACACAGACAAGGCACAAGGCAATGGGCACATGTTCCAACACACACAGGGGTACAGCACACATTCCAGCATGCCACAGACACAGGGGTATGGGGACACAGAGGTGGACATATGCAAGACATGTGAATGCACACATGGATGTGAACATGCTCTCCAACACACAGAGCAGACAACCACACGGGTAATTAAAAGGCCTGTGCTCTGGAACACGTAGAACAAAGCCAATAGCCACAGACCAGGGACACACGCTCTGATGGGCTCACACAGGGATCACCCACTAGGATGGGTGCAAGCAAACACACACACAATGCATAGTTAAATGGTGCAGACACACATATGCAAAGCACATACACACACATACACACTATTCACATACTTAAATGGCATGTGAATACATGCATATAGCATGTGCATGCTCCTAAGGGGAAAATAATGTGTACCCAGCTGTGTCCCACATTCAACGCACTTAGCACACAGCCAGTAGTTGGTAAGCTGCCCCATGCTGGGTCCCCACCTGACCCCCATCGTCTCCAGTCCCCACATCATACCCTACCATCACCCCTGCCCACCTCACTCCACCCCTATATACCTCTCCACTCCAACACTATTCCCTGTACCCCACCTCCTGCCCCTTGCTTTACCTCCCCCTGGCCCCTGCCCCTGCCAGCCCTGCTGCCAGCAGGGAGCAGACAGGGTTAAATCCCCTAGCTCTAGCCCTGCCTCCATCCCAGCTATGCTCCAGCTTTGGCCTCAGACCCACATCTGGTTTGCATCAGACAGTCCCAGCTGCTGGCTGGGGGCCCTGCTGCCCCTCCTTTCGCCCCCCCTCCCCCCCCAGTGCTGGGCAGGCACTGCCCGGGTTGGAGAGGAAGGGGCTGGACAAGGTGGTGCTGGGAGCAGAGTGTGGGGACACCGAGCAGACACGGGCATGGGGTGCAAGGCGCTGCTACTGCTGCTTCTGGGGCTGCTTCTGGGGACCCCCCGGGGCCAAAGCCAGAGTGAGGGGGAGCTCAGCTCAACAGAGAGAGAAGCCTTGATGCTAAAGGTGAGGGGTGCCCAGGGCAGTTCCCCCAGCCTCATCCCCCTGGGGTCCCATCTCCTGACTCAAGGGACCTTCCCTCCCACCCATTTACCTACCCCCACCTCTGACGCAGGGTTCTTTTCCACCTCCCAGGATCCTGACACCCCCAGAATTCCTGTTCCCAAAGGACCCCCATCCTCCATGCACTCAATCTTAGGGCATCCCGTGCCCCCAAAAGGGTGCCCACCCCCTGCACCCACCAGGTCCCTTTCCAAGGCTCACAGGGACTGCCCCAAGCTGCCTTATGTAACAGCCTCTCCCCAACCGGCTCTGCCAGAGCCTTGGGATTGTGTTTAGCTGGGCCTTCCCCAAGGTCTCAGAGGCCCCAACCTCAAGTCCAAGTCCTTCAGGGCCCCAAGTCCTTCAGGGCTGGGACATCCAGGGCACAAAGCCACAGATAGAACTCAGGTGTCCACCCCGCCCCCGTTGTTGTACCAGCAGATCCAGGGTAGAAGCCAGGAGTCCTGCCCCCTAGACCCCCACCTCATCCCCCTAATTTAACTCAACAGATTCCACTCTGCTCCCACAGCTGGGATAGAACCCAGGAGTCCTGACTGCCAGCCTCCCCTTCTCCCCCAGCTCTAATCCCAAGCAGGGGTAGTCCTGGGGGGAACAGGAGACCAGGCCTCATGACAGTGAACGGGGCAGGGGCAGGGGCAGGGGCAGGGGAAGGGGATGGGTCAGGCTCAGGGGGGAACTGTAGCTGGGGTGCTCAACCCCCCCTCTCTGCTCAGCACTTGCAGGAAGTGCTGCAGCTCCCCGAGGTGGAGGGCCAGGGCTCCCCCGAGGTGACACTCACGGAGCTGGGCCCTGACGGAAGCAAGGAGGGGGGTCAGGAGGAGGTAGAGGATGGGGCCCAGGGCAGAGAGGATAAAGCTGCCCCCATGCAGCCAGCCATGACCACGGTGCCCCCCCAACCTGAAGAGGAGGATGGATTATCCTACATCTGTGAGTATGACCCTGACCCCCAGATCCTGACCTGTTGACCCCACACCCCTACCCTGACCCCACACAACTGCCTAGGAAACCCCCAGACTCCATCATCTCCTTGACCCAACAGCCCCCAACCTCCCCAGACCCCTATCTTACACCTTTCCAACACCCCATCACTACCACCCCCCCAGACCGGCCTGTGCTGCCTCAACCCCCCTCAGCCTGGCACTATTCCTAGGCTTCCCGCTCACTCCTGGGCGGGGGCGTTTTGTGGGCTCCGGCTTTCATCCAGTTCCCAGAGACGCCAACCCCAGTCTGGCCTGGCCGCAGCTCCTCCCTCCCAACACAACACCTCGCCCACAAACAATCTGGCCCCTGGTCTAGCACCCTCCCTCACCCCAGCCCACATGGACCCAGCCTCCCCCTGACCTAGGCCCAGCGTCTCCCCACCAGTCCCACCTCACCCTGGCCTCAGAACCCCAGCGCCTGGCCTGGGTCCCCTCCCCACAGCCTCCTCACTGTCTGTGGCATTCCCACAATGCTGGCTAGCTCTCACTGCTGCCCTTTCATCCCCTGGTGCCTGCCTCTGAGATGCTGCCAGCGCAGACCTGGCCACTGCCTGCTGGGAGTGGGGACTAGAGCCACGTGGGTCCCCATGACCACCCCAGTTCCCATCAGCCTATCCCCCAACTACCCCAGCTCCAGGAAACCCATCCCCTTCCTCTCCCGAAGCCTCAGCAAGACCATCCCACCTACTGTCCCATCCTGCTTCCTACTACCAGCAACCCCAACCCTGCAGTTCCAATCAGCCTATGCCTCACTCCCTGCCCCCACACCTAGCCCACGCCCCCTGCCCATCCCCCAACAAGAGAGGTGGGGGTAGAAATGGAGGTGTTCATCAAGGCAATAAGGGGGAAAGAGAAGACAGTAATAGGCTGACACCCCCCCCATCCATCCCACAGTCTCGCGCCTGGCCAGCCTGGACACGGCTGTGCACCGCCTCAATGTGCAGTTCCACGCCATGGACGTGCGCATGGCCCAGTTCTCTCAGGGCCTGACCCAGCTACGGACATGTCTGGCTGAGGCCCAGGAGGTGCTCAGCGCCCTCAATCAGACCAGCACCCGCAACCAGCATGACATCGGCAGGATGGAGGGTGAGGACTGTTGACAGGAGGAGGGACCATGGGGCAGCTCCACCAAGGGCAAAGACAGCTGTGACCCAACTAGCGCTATTTTCCAGGTCAGACGACAAAGGTTAAGAATGACCCTAGCCAAGGTCAAAGCAGGAAGGTCTGAGGGGAATGGCTCATTTCTGGGTCAGAGAACAAAAAGTCAGCAGGGCTGAGCCTTGCTCTGTGGCATTGCAGAGAGGCTGGTGGGGTCAAATGGCAGGGGCATGAGGTCAAGGCCAGAGATGAACCCCAAGTGTTTATGAGGCTGAGGGGAAGCCAGGAGGCTGTGGGGGACGGGGGCTGTGGCGGCACAGAGCATTTACCCACCTGCAGGTTGGGGGTCAGAGGCTCAAGTTCAACCCGCCTCTCCACAAGGCTGGGGTCAGAGGTCATATTTCCCCTTCTGCAGGCTGCTTGCGGGGCCGGCGGACCCAGACCAAGTGCTTCCTAATCTTCAAGGAATTTGAGGGCTACGACCAGGCACACACACGGTGCCAGACACGAGGCGGGAACCTGGCCATGCCAGCTGATGCCACTGAGCTAGGCGTTCTACGTCGATACCTCTATGATGCCTTCCAGCCCTCCAACTGGCCATGCTGGGTGGGCATCCATGACCGACGGGCTGAGGGGCTGTGGCTGTTTGAGAATGGGCAGCGTGTCTCGGTATTTGACTGGTACAAGGACCACCTGGTAAGCCAGCCCAACGGGGGCATGCGAGAGAACTGCATCTCGCTCTCCTCCGACGATGGCAAGTGGTGGGACAGCGACTGTGCCCAACGTATGTACTATGTCTGCGAGTACCGCCTGTAGTAGTATGAGTACTGCCCTGCCCTATGAGTACCCCTCCACTCACCAGGACCACGGCTGCCCTAGTGTATGGTTCTGGCTGATACCAACTACAGCCCACCCCTGCACCCCACCCCAATCCCTCCCCACCACAGACTCTGCCCTCATTCCTACCCTGAAACCCCAGGGACCCTTCCTAAGCTACCACTGCCTCCAACCCAACTCCTCTCAGATCCTGCTCACTCCACTTGACCCCCCCAGGCACTCCCCAAACAACCACTGCCTCTAATCCAACCCACGATGGACCCTGATCTATCCCCCACTCCCAACCTTCCCCACCCCAACAACCAGTACCCCCTTTCCCATCTCACACCTATCCCAGTCCTGCAGATTCCTCCTCTCCCCAAACAGCCACTGCCCCCCAACCTTCCAGAAACCTTGACCTCCCCCCCAGGGACCTCCACCAAGCATTGCCCCCAGGGAGCTGGTATCCAACTACCAACCTCTCCCCCACCCCAACCCCTAGACTCAACCCCTACCTTTTTACCTCCAAGGGGGAGGACAGCTGCAGCTGGTGCATGACCTGGCTGCAAGGGCTGACTGCTGGTGCATGACCTGGCTGCATGACCTGGCTGCAAGGGCTGACTGAGGAGACGGGCTGACGGGACAAAGAAAGCCACATAGGCACTGCTGGGAGTAGCCCGTCCCCATATGCCAATGGCCAGCAGTGAGGACCTCCCCAACAAAGCTAGGTTTCCCCCCACCCCAGTTCCACCCTGTGCTGCAGGTCACCAGGGGCAGCTCCCCGCCCCCCTGTCATTTATTACCTTTGTCCCACTAAGTCTTAGGGCACTTGGGGATCAAAGGTCACCAATGCAGAGCTGTCCCTGGAGGTGGGGAGAGTCTGTACTCTTATCTCCCCCACACACACTTTGACAGTACTCGGGCAGATCCCTTCCCCTACCAGCAGCTCTGCCCCATCCCATTCATTGGCCCCCTGGCAGCCCTCATTTCCCCCACCCAAAGGCAGATCCCTGCCCCAGCCAAATATCACACCTGTAGGCATCTCCTGTAAAACAGACACTCTTTTATTTGTTTCCAGCTCAGGAGAAATATCTTTGGCTTCTTCCCCTCCCATCACAACCCCAGTCTCTGGCCAGTGGAAGTCAGGAGGCTGAACACCCCCTCGCCCCAATCTCCTCCCCTCCTGCCCCCAAGCTGGGTCAGTAGCTGCGGAAAGCTTCTTATGTAATTATTCATATTATTTTTTAACTTAAAAACTTGTGTGTTTTTCCAACGGTGGCATTCCAACACTGGGCACAAGCAGAGGTGGTGAGGGGAGGTGGAGATGGAGAGCAACCAGGCCACCTGGGGCAGAAAGGTGGAGATAAAAGGCTCAGCCTCCCCCACCTCCCACTTGTTGGGTTTGAAGCATATGCTGGGACTGCTGGCAGCAGTGCCTGGCTCCCACCAAACCTCCCGGGGTGCCCAATGCTACCTCTGGAGGGGGCTGCTGGGGTACACACACACACACACACACACACACACACACACACACACACTGACTCAGGGGGTCCCAGATTGGCATACCTGTGGCCCCAAAGGGCAGTGGGAGACCCAAGACTGGGGCAGGGGAGGTTTCCTTCAGGGTGCAGATGATGTAGCAGAGACCCCAGGGCTGCCAAGGTAGGTTAGGGGGGTAGGACCCCAAATACCCCTCCCAGAGGGCACATGACACCCCTAGCAAAGCACTCCCCCTCCGTGGTGAGTGCCCCCTGCCTAAGGGACCCTTATCCTCACAGCTATACAAATCTGTGTCCTTCTGCCACACCCCTAATGAACCAACCCACTCCACTCCCCCTTCCCCTGCCCTGGACTGCTCCTACACAGTGACCCTATGCGGACCAGTCCTACTTAGCCCACACATCCCATAGAAGCACACATGGACTCTTCTTCCCTACCCCCCCCATCTCAATACACATGGACTATTCCTTGCCAGTTGAATCTCCACCCCACCCCCATCATGCCGGCACACATGGTCCATTCCTCCTAAACCACCCTCTATTACCACACATGGACCTTTTCTACTTGGGTAACCTCCCTCCTCCCTTCACACTTGGACTGTTCCTTCCCTATTTAGCACACGGACTATTCTTACTCCTGAGCACACATGGACTATTCCTTGCCAATCCAATTCCACCCCCACCCCCCAGCATAAGAGGACCATGCCTTCTTTAGCCCCACTAATTCCGCCCCCCCACCCCCCATCTCATCCCAAAAACTCTTCTTCCCCCAGTGGATTCCCCACAGTACACATGGAGTCTTCTTTCCCAAGCACACCCACACCCAAGTCAACACCCACTTCCCAGCACACATGTACTATTCCTTCCCTTCACCCCCCTACTTCCAGCACACATGGACTATACCTCTGCTTTACCACCCCCCTCCCAGCACACATGGACTATTCCTCGCCTTCACACACCCCTTCCCAGCACACATGGACTATTCCAGATTCTTGCCCTTCACCCATCCCCCCAGCACATATAGACTAGTCCTCACCAAGCCCCTTCACAGCCTCAGATGAGCTGCTGCCTAAGCAAGCTCATTTATGCCTGAGTCAGTTAGTCTCTAAGGTGCCACCCTGCCCTGATCTCTGCCTGACCACCTCCAAGTCCCCTCCACCCCCCACAGAAGGAGCCTGATTCTTCCCCTGCATCACACCCCAAATGGGGCAGGCCAGGGGGCAGTGCCCCCAGCCCTGGGAGAAGGGGGCCGTAGAAGAACTCAATATGACCTCTTTGGTGCAGTGGGATCTGCCCCCAGATGCACAGCTGGGAGGTCTCTGGGGCAAGAGGCACAGCCCCAGAGCCCTCCCTCCAGCCCAGCTCAGCCAGGCATGGTAGTCATGCAGGAAAGACTGCTGTGTCAACACACTCCAGGACCAGGGCCACCCGTTTATTGATGGCCTAACCAAAGAGCCAGGTGATGGGGGTGGTCACTGTGGGCAGCCCAAGCCAGCAGCAGGTACTGGCTGTGATGCACCTTCCACCAGTGCAGGGACTCCTGGCACAATGAGGTGATGTCACCATCATGGAAGCTGGCACTCCTGCTCCACCAGCTGATGTAGTGGACTATTGCTATAACTGCCTCATGGGACCCCAAGCAGGTCCTTGAGGCCTGCCAGCCCTGCTCAGTGGATGGTGGCAGTGGGGAAGGCCCAGCCATAGTGAAAACCCTGCTTCCCTGCAGCCCCCACTCCTCAGCTGCCTGGCTCAGCACCCCTGCAAGGCCTTCAGCAGTCAGCTCCTGTGGTATGGGGTGGGTGCATGACACATGCACCCAGGCATCGAAGGCCTTGTCTATGTAGAGGAGCTTTAGGGAGAGGTAGGTCAGGCTGGGGCTGTAGCATCACATCCAGGCTGTGGGTGCAACAACGCAGCCCCCATACCAGTGATGTAAAGCCCGGCTCCAAGGCACTGAGCATCTGGTAGAAGCCCTTGCCCTCCACCATTGTGATTGGCAGCTGGTCCTAGATGAAGTTGGCCACAGCCTGGGTAGTCCTGCCCCAGGCAGTAAGGGGTGGGGCATGGTGAGTGCCTTTACCAGCTAGCACAGATTGGTGATGTTGCCACAGTAGGAGAGCTGCACCCCACCCAACTTGCAGATGGTCTTGCTCTTGTCCATCATCCAGCTGTAGGTGTTGCCCTGGAATCCAAAGAAGGTCCACAGAATCATAGAGAAGTGGGGCTGGAAGGGATCTCCTGAGGTCATGACTATGCATCCCCCTGCCTGAGGCAGGATCAGCCCTATCCAAACTATCCCCTAACAAATCCACCATCTAAACTTTGTAAAACTACACAAGACATCACACCCCAACCTGCCACATGTGAAGCAGGGGAACCGTGGCAGCCAACATGCTGCTGCTGTAAAAGGTTGTTAATATACGCTCAAGAGATCCCAGGTAGAGGTCATGCCCCCCACCACAGAGGAAGGCAGAAAGTCCCACAGTCCTCACCAATCTGACCGGGGGTAAAATTCTTCCCTGAGCCCAAATACGGCAATCAATCTGACCCTGAGCAGTGGGGCAAGACCCTCTAGACAGGAACCTCCATCTTTAAGTCCCAGCAGGAGCACTGGCACAGCCCAGCCGCAATTCCCAGCCTTGGATGCAGCCAACACCCAATTCCTCTGGGGAAGGCTTAAAAACATCCTGACACATGTAACAGAAAGGGGGAGGAGACAGCAACCAGCAAAGCCCAGAAGCCTGGGAAATACCCATAGTAGTCCTGTAACAGCTCTGGGTGCAGCCCAGGCCCACCAGCTTCTGGGTGCCCTTCAGGAGCAGGAAGGCAGGGGTGGCACAGCAGAGGTGGGGGGGGAGCCAAAGGGCAGGGTTGTGGGGGGCAGCAGGTGCCTCCTCGGGGAGTAGCAGCTCCCTCTCACTGCATTAATACTTGAACCACTTCTCTGTGGGACAGGAGGGAGGGAGGAGTGTTAATATGGAGGAGGGAGGGAAACAGCTGACCTCTGACCCCACTGACTTCTGACCCTCATAAACTCCTGCCTCTGCCCACAACCCCACCCCTTCAAACCCCAGGACGTGTCTGGTCCATGACCCCCACAAAGGAGTGGCTGTGTCTACACAGCTGCCCCATAGGGGATGGCAGGAACCCTCTGTGATTCCACAGAAAAATGGTGCATCCCATCTGTGCCACCAGTTGTGATGCCTGAAGAGCCCTGGGTAACCCCCAAGGAAGTTCCTGCATCTACTCAGGACTCCTACCACCAAAAGGAGAGGGCTGTACCTACTCCATCCCCAAAGGGTGGGAGGAGAATGTCATCACCACAGATCCCTGCACCCATAAGGGCCCCCAGGGCACTCAACCCTACAGCAGACAGCCCCTCACCTCAAAGAGAACCAGCATTTGTCCTGGCTTCAAATGTGGAGGATTCTCCCCACACACATCTCCATGAGACCCCCCACCCCCAACAGTCTACTGTCACCCCCTGGGGGACATCCCCCTCACTCAGCTTGAGCCCCAGGGTACGGGCATCTTCCT